GTGCAGTAGAACGGTCCCGTTACAATAGGGGCTACAGTCCCGGTGCAGTAGAACTGTCCCGTTACAATAGGGGCTACAGTCCCAGTGCAGTAGGACGGTCCCGTTACAATAGGGGCTACAGTCCCAGTGCAGTAGAACGGTCCCGTTACAATAGGGGCTACAGTCCCAGTGCAGTAGAACGGTCCCGTTACAATAGGGGCTACAGTCCCAGTGCAGTAGGACGGTCCCGTTACAATAGGGGCTACAGTCCCAGTGCAGTAGAACGGTCCTGTTACAATAGGGGCTACAGTCCCAGTGCAGTAGAACTGTCCTGTTACAATAGGAGCTACAGTCCCAGTGCAGTAGAACAGTCCTGTTACAATAGGGGCAGCAGTGACTAATCAGAGCCCTCCTCTCCCTCTCTCTGCCGCAGACGATGTTCACTCTGACAGAGCTGGCCTCCCTCAGCGAGAGGCAGAGCAGCTACAAGATCCTGAAGCCCTGGTGGGACGTCTTCATGGAGTACCTGGTCCTGCTGATGCTCATGGTGTCCGTGCTGGCGGGCACCCTGCTGCTGTCCCGCGACCAGGTGGTGTGTCTGCCCTCCGACCCCCCCTCCCAGGCTCCGGGCAACGGGTCCCAGCCCAGTCAGGAGCCCCCCCGCGCTCGCCAGGAGCCCTCCAATTCCAACTCCCATCCCCAGACCTCCCCTGCAGTACCCCACCCTACCCCCAGGGGGCGCCGCACCCACCTCGACTACCAGCAGTACGTGTACATCAGCCAGGTGTGCTACCACCACGCCCTGCCCTGGTACTCCCGCTTCTTCCCCTACGTGGCTCTGCTGCACTCCCTGGCTCTGCTGGCCAGTGGCAGCTTCTGGTTCAAGTACCCCAAGACCTCGGCCAGGATCGAGCACTTCATCGCCGTGCTGGGGAAGTGCTTCGAGTCCCCCTGGACGTCCCGCGCGCTGTCGCACACGGCCTGGCAGGACTCCACCCAGACCAGGGCCGAGGGGACGCGGCTCCGGCTCAACTCCCTCGCGGGACGGCCCAGCCTGGACTCCGGGACCGACAGCCCCCTGCTGGGCCGGGAGGGGAGCGCGCAGCCCGCCGCAGCCCCCGTCCCTCCCCCGTCCCCGTCCCCGTCCCTGCACCCCCAGCCCCTGTCCTCG